TATATATATATATATACATTTAATGATGTCATTTTGTTTTTGCAGTTCGTGTGGCCTGTCTGTCTATACTCAAATGTTACAGACGCATACGATCCTCTTTATTCAACGTATTCGCGGACAGGTCCGTGGACAGACGTCACACAGGGACACGGGGACAGACGGACTATTGTAGAGTAAAGTAGCTTTGATGGTTATTTAATGCTTTTTATGGTAATAGGGTTATTCATTTATTATTAATTAGGTCAGGATGTGTGTGTGTGTGTGGGGGGAAACGAGGTCATGCGTCTTTGTCATTTTGAAAGGACGTCCTACTATTTAAAAAAAAAAAAAAAATGGAGACGTTTAAAGGAAAGTGCACCACGATGCAAATGTGGCTGCACTTGTGACAGTTTCAGTTTTGGGACACACGAACAAAAGCACTAATTGCTCGTGCGTTAGGTCTCAGGGGGCTTCACAAGTGGTAAAACTGGTGGTAACTTTCACTCAGCATAAACAACAGACACCTGCAGAACTATTTTGATACTGTGGGCTGTGGACCATGATGTTGTATAGATAGATGACTGTGAGGTTTTTTTTTTAAGAACTACAGTAGTGTCAGTCGTTACAGTATTACATCTAGCAGAGAGGCTTTGTGTTCTGTTAAACTGGCTTAAACCCATATTTACTCTACTCATTAACCATATTTGACAGCGTTATCCGGTCAGTTGTGCTTTGCCAACATCCTTAGGCTACAGGTACTACAGGTACTACTAGTAAAGTAGTAGTACCTGTAGTACCTCTATAGTACCACTGCTAAAGTACATACTTTAGCCCCAACGTGGTGAGGTGATAAGGAAAAACCTGTGTTGCGAAGTTTTTACACCGCCTAAAAAGAAAAAAAACAAAATTGTTTTGAGTATTGACGATACTCTTCTCGGCTGACAAACACGTGGAAAAACCTGTGTTGCGAAGTTTTTACGCCGCCTAAAAGGAAAAAAAAAATTGTTTCGAGTATTGACGATACTCTTCTCAGCTGACAAACACGGTGTAGGAACATTATCGCCACCTACAGGGCTGGGGTATGTGTGTGGAATTGAGAAATTCATGGTTGATTTTTTTTTAAATTTTTGGACACCTTCTGGAATTATCTGTGAGTAATTAATCAACATAAACATTGTATGTGAGAGAGATGTGTTTGAAATGCGACGCTGAAGTCCAACGTCGTTCCAGATATACTACGGGCTGCGGACCTGTTTGTACTGTAATTACATTTACTATCTTTAGCGCGAATGTAATGGGCCTGGATATAGAGCGTACCCCATAAATATTTGAAACGTGGTAAAATACGGAACGTTGTTGCACATCGTGTGCTCATTTCGTGCGCGTCTTCTTCAGCTCGTGTATGACGATGAACTACATGCGCCGTAAGTCGAGCCAAGTTTGAAGAAGAATCTCTACAGCAAACAGTCATTTCCGTTCACCAAGTTTGAACAAGAATCTCTACCGCAAACAGTCATTTCCGTTCATGTTAGTGATTTGTTTATTTATGAATTTCAACTTTACATGTTGCTATTTTTCCTAAGTTCAAC